ATATCGACTCGTCTGGTCAGTTGAGTCGGGCTGCTAGCTGATCTCTGGCTATCTCTCCCTTCGGTCGAGATGTCGACTCGTCTGGGAGGTCAAGATGCCTCGTGTCGATTAGCGCCGCTTCTCGTATCGACACTGGGGTGTCGGCTTGTTTGGCTGGATGGAGATGGCTACTTATCAGATCATATATTTGGAAACAGTTGTACCCCATAACAATTATAATGGGTTCTAAGGCCAGGTTGATGTTGCTATGTTTAGGTGCTTCTTTTTTATTTTAAGAAGCATTAAGTAATTATGTTTGGTAAAACTTATTTTACATGCTTATTGAAATTGGTGCCCCTTTTGATAGCTTAAGATATCTTAATTTTGTAATTTTCACTTATAATCATCCAGAATCGATGCAAAATGTGTACAACCCCTCAGAAAATGACATTCACACACAATGTTCAAAATGGATTTTCTTTCCATTTTCAATAAATCTCAGGGGAAAAAATTGACAAAGAATCTTATAAAACATCTCCAAACTTTTCTATAATTAGTTGTTGCCTGGGGATCCGCAACCCCTGCACTCTCTTCCTAACATTTCCAAAACTAAAAACTAGAAGCAAGCGGCGATTAAGGATGCAATATGAGAAAGAAGAAGAGGAGGAAAGCGGAAACCTTCCTCTGATTCAAGCGGTGGGCCTCGATCCGCGATTGTCGACCACTGGAATTTTCTCGATCGTCCATGTCTCATCCTAGAGTCTATCTCAAATCGCTTACTAGACATCCCTGACCTCTCCTCCTTTAATGTCGTCTGCAGTGTGTTGCGGTCTCTGACTGCCATGTTGGCCATCGTCATCCCCCTCATCTCCCGCCGACCTTTCCTACGCTCCTTCGCCATCCCTTACCAGCAAAAGACATTTAGAAACTTGCCACCTCACCAAAAATGCAAGGCCAATCAGTAGTCTCAACCAACGATCATTGTCTCCATAAGTTAAAACTACCACTACAATCCTCTGATATCGATGCCTAGGTACATCTTTTTGGCATATTATTCTTAGCTATAGCGCTCAAACCGCCGTCATCGCCAATGTTTTCACCGATAACCAGATTTGGTGGAGACTATTGATTGGATCTTGCATTTCCGGTGAGGTGACATGTTCTTCAATGTCTTTTGCTGGTCGAGAGTGGTTGTGAATGAGCGGAGGAGGAGAGGTGGGCAGGAGACAAGGGGGACAGTGGTGGCTAATGGGCAGCCAGAGATCGCGACACGCGACAGACAATAGTGAAGAGGAGAGGTTGGGGATGTCTAGTAAGCAATTTGAGTTAGATTCTAAGACAGGACTTGGAAGATCGAGTAAATTCCGGTGGCTAGGGTCCACCTTGGAGGCGGCGATAGTCGCAGGGTCAAGGCGCATCACTTGTATTGGAGGAAGGTTTCCACTTTCCTCTTCTTTCTCCTGTTGCAGCCTTAGCTACCGCTTGCTTCTAGTTTTCATTTCTGAAAATGTTATAGGGAGAGAGAGTAGGGTTCATGAAGTAAAGTTCTTCGGACAATAACTATTTATAGAAAATATTGGAGATGTTCTAGAAGATTCTCTGTCAATCTTTGCCCCTAGGGTTTGCTGAAAATGGAAAGAAATCTATTTTGAGCATTGTGCATGAATGTTATTTTCTGAGGGGCAGTAGTCGTTTTGCCTCAGTTCCTATATTACATGAAAATTATTCTAGTTTGATGAATGGGTGACTTTTAAATTTAGTCTACATGTTGTGAAGTGCAATGAGCTAATTTATCATTGTGATTATAATGTTTTTTTTACAGTAGTTGAGAACTGATGATTGCCGTTTGAGGGCTTTTGTTAGTTTCTGATTTTAGATGTGTTAAAAGTTGACATATTTAGGTACTAATTGTTAGTTTTTTTAGATTGCATAATCTTAGTATTTTATAGCTATGAAAGTTCTGAATATTAACAGGGTTATGAAAGCGCAAAACAGGCTTTTACATGTGTGTGATGTTGATGATTTGAGTTCTTGTGGTTCTGCCCACAATGTAGTTCTCGAAGATCCTATTTCATCAAGTTTGTTAAATGACTCGTGTAGAATCTATAGCTTGATTGGTGCACACATCAACGGCTCTTTCATAATCTTGGGATTGGGATTTAGTTTTTCAAATTATTGATAAATCCTCCGCCCATATTTATAATCTAGTTTCCGTGATATAAAGCTTTGGAATACACTTGTAGATGTCCTAGTCACAATGAGTTAACGTGCCTCCGTTATGTTTAAAATTATTTTGTGTCTTAATTTAGTGAAAAATTGTCTTTAGTGAAGGACCTTTATCAGTTCATTCTCTTAGTACTCTGCTAGGCATTATGAAATTGAGAAGAAGATTGATTTAACTGTTTGGTCACCAAAAGATGTTTGTCTTAGTAACGATATACATTAGTGAGATTGTTTCAGAGTTTAAACTTGAACTTATATAGATTTGGGTTATGAGAAATGTTCTTATACCTAAGGAAAATGCTTCTCTGTAGCTTTGGGCTTATTAATTAGAGTTCTTGCTGTCAGAAAGGTTTGTTTTTGTAGCATTCAAAAATAATCTTTCTATGCTATTGTTTGGAATATAAGAAAGGTATACCCTTTCCATTATTTTTGGCAATTCTCAAGTAAGCATCGTCCTTACGCCAAATATTATAGTCTGGATCTGAGAACGAAATATATTTTTAATGGAAAATCTGTGGCGCAAGTATGCATTTTACCTTTAAAGCGGGTAGTACTGAGTTTTTCTTTGTGAAAATTTTCATTTTTATTGATAATCTTGCTTGGTATTTTGGCTTGGTTTTAAATGTGATTAGTCTAAGCTTGGATTCCCCCTTGGTACTGTGTTTGATTGAGTCTTGCTTGATTATTTTCCACTGAACTGTTCAATAATTTTAAACAAAAACCTTGTGAACTAGCAATAATTTTGAAATTATTTTGTTCCTAAATAGCACCTAAATACCTTATAGTTTACATAAGTTATCTTACATATCCTATCTTTTTGTCTGACGTTTAAACATCCTTTTTTAAAGCATGTTACTACCTTCTGTTAATCAACTGTTGGAATATTCCCTCAGAAATTCTCATGTGACTTTCACATGTTAAACATTTGGTCCATAATACCCTGAGGTCATCTGAATCAATTAGAAAACCCATCTTATTGTGTTGAAATTGTGTTGAGTGGTATGTTAAACGTTAGGGTTAGGAATTGGAATCGTTTTTAGTTTAGGCGACTTTAAGGGTATTATTGACCAAACTTTAACTTGTGAAGGTCACATAAGATTATTTGGAGGAACATCTGACTGGTTGACTAACATAAGTTCGTAACATACTACTTTAAAAATTAATAGGGTATCTAAATGTCAAAAAGAATAAGGCATATAAGTTAAGTCATATAAATTATAAGGTATTTAAGTGCTATTTGACCTTGTTCTGTGTGTTTTCCATTAGTGAAAGTTGCATTTTAGTTTAGGACCTTAGAGCAATCCTTTCCCGGAGGTATCCAGACACAATATTCATTATGAAGTTCCAGGATAAAAGACTGAAACAACTGCTTGTTCCTTTAAATATATTTGCATTACAGTGGGTTGGTAGATATTTTTTAGGCTGGTTCCCAAGGACGAGTTTGATCTTTTTGGACAGATTTTGGTTATGAGAAATGTTGTGATATGCTCTCCTGAAGCTCATTTGTTGGGAGTTTAAGGTTGCAGGCACGAGGTATTCAAAGACATTATTTTGTTCTCTAAAGGCTCATTTTAAAGCATTACAACAGGAGACAGTTTTTCTTCTGATCTTTACCAAAAGGTATATATGATCTGATAGTTTACATGGTAGTAGGGTACAATACATAAGAGGTATAAAAGGTTGGCAGGACAAGTTCTACATTGTATTACATTGTTGCTGTCACGACCTTGTTGCATTTCTTTTAGCTGACCTGACACTAGCATATGTTGAGTTTGACTACAAAGCAAGTAACTCGAAGTTTTCTGTGTCTTTGTTACACTTCTGATACCATTCAAGGTCTTCATTTTCGTTTTTATTTTTGTTCCTTACAAAATTCATGATTACTGATTCCAACCTTCTTGGAGAAATCGTGCTCTCAACCAATTAAATTTTTCAAAAAAAATTCTTCCTGCTGTAGTTTGTTCTGCTTCACATCCTATTTGGCTCACCCCTGAGTGCTGACCCTTTTAACTATTTTTAGGTTTATAAGGAAGTCCAATTTCTCCTTAGTAGCCTTGTTCTAACCTTCTTGGAGAAATCGTGCTCTTAACTTGTTCCTTATTGGAGTTGTCCATCAGCAAATAATATTCTGTGTGTTCCATCTTCCTACAATTATTGCTTTGGAACATTGTATTTTGATCTGTTTTCTTAGCATAAGGGAATGCAATTTGTTTATTACTGTATACTTCAACACATCTTTGATGCTAACTACAATGTTTCTTCTTTTTTAGACATTTATTGTCTATTGCTATAAATAGGATAGTTTAATTGTGTATTCTCGCTCTGCTGTTAAACTTTGGATAACATGCTCCTACCGTCAAAATTCCATTTCCTGTTGAAATCTACTCGCCATAGATTACACCCACATATGACATCTAACCACACCGCCAATCTTTCCTCGTACATGGTCACAAGAATATTGATACCGAGTTATGTCATCAAGAATTATGAGTATAAGCTACTCGAGGAGAACCAGTATGGGACTGTGCGTAATTGAAACTGAAATATGATAAATTGTGCATATATAACTCCATAAAAATGGAGGTGATAGAATCAGAAAACTGTTAAACCATCTATATTTTATGCTCTCTGATGCTTGAAAACTGTCTTGTATGGTGGATTGCATTGCTAAGTAAATTTACACCTCTTTTGTTTTTCCTCTGCATCTTTCTTCTGTGTTTGATTTCTCACATTATTCTGCTTTCAATACGTAAATCTCCACATGTTCTTTTCCATTCTTCTGATCATGATGAGTGCAGGTGGTAAAAATCAGATTGCAACAGCAAAAAGGTCTAAGCCCTGAGCTTCTAAAATACAAAGGACCAGTTCACTGTGCAAGAATGATTGTAAGAGAAGAAGGCATTTTGGGTCTATGGGCAGGTGCAGCTCCAACCGTTATGCGCAATGGAACAAATCAAGCTGCCATGTTCACAGCCAAGAACGCTTTCGATGTGATTCTCTGGAAAAAGCACGAAGGAGATGGCAAAGTCCTTCAGCCATGGCAATCGATGGTTTCTGGATTCTTGGCAGGGACTGCAGGCCCAATATGCACGGGCCCATTTGATGTAGTAAAAACAAGATTAATGGCTCAAAGTAAATCAAATGGTGGTGTGAAATATAAGGGAATGGTTCATGCAATTAGAACGATATTTGCTGAAGAGGGCTTGCGTGCTTTGTGGAAAGGGTTGCTTCCTCGGCTAATGAGGATTCCTCCTGGTCAAGCTATAATGTGGGCTGTTGCTGATCAAGTGACTGGTTTCTATGAAAGAAAATACTTGAAGAGTGCTCACTTATAGAGTTATAACTACATTAGTACCGGCGGATTTATTCGAAATAAAGTAAATGGATTCTTTGTTCTTTGTATTTAGAAGAGCAGCAAATTTTGGTTGAAGAACCGTATTGTATGTTCATTGGTGAGAAAATCAATGGCAACATTAGTGGGGGATAAGGGTGTAGGCTTGATTCATCTTATTTGGTTATTGCTAGTTTGATGTTCTGTTCATTGCTGCGGACGTGCTACAATAATGAGGAGGCGTGTGTCTATAATTGTTGGTCAATTTTCAGGTATGGCTTCATAAAGGAGCCTGGTTGAATTTACGTTGAATGCCATTGCACATTTTTTATTGATGAATAATTTCATAGGCCTTTGGGGCCGGCAGGTGCACGTTTAGATGCCTGCTGTAGATGGCCCACGAACAAGTAAGGTTGATTTAGGAAGCTTCATTTGTCGATTTCATCTTTGCTTCATTCGGCCTTCTCATTCCCCGCGCTCTGGGTGTTTTGGTTTTGTTGGGTTAGATGTCCACTGACTGATTTGAAAATTTTTGGTTTTCGATACACCAAAGTTAGAGCAAGGATTCTATTAGAGCAACATAGAGAAAGGGGTGGTCTACACCATACAGTGGTACTTAAAGGGTTAGTTTAGGAATTTGAATTCTTTTACTTATAATGTAGATCACTTCACTCCTATAAGGATGATTCTTATAGGATCCATAAAGTTATGGTAGCATGATATGCTATCTATGTGTGTAGGACGCAAGGCTCGCCACAAATCTAACAAAAACTATCGAGGAAAAAATCATAAATTAATGCAAATAAAAATATTGGATCACGAAATAATTTGTTTGAACTTACTGTGCATTAGCGATTTCCAATTTGTTGAGTAGTTTCAATTTTTTTTAATTAAAAAAACTGCATTTTGGAGCCGCATGGTTTCCGTTTTTATGGGTACGGGCAGATGAACCATTTTAGCCTACTCATCGCACATATACTCCTCTAAGCTAAGAAATAAGGCCTTAAATCCATAGAATTAATTAATACACATATAGTCTGAAAACTAGCTCCTAGAATATCCATGAGTCCCATTAATTATAATTTCAATTTATTAATATCTATGAGTCCGATCAACTGTGAAACAACTTGTAATAACCTTTTTTTTCCCGGGGGGGTATATTGCGACCATAAATATAGCAAATGTTGCGTGCAGAATATATCGCATCAAATTGGACTCAAATTAATTCGTCCCGCGCATATATGTATAAAATTCACTTTTAAAAATCAAAATACTGTGATGTTTGACCGTTGTAAAACCTGCTGAAGCTTTCGTATCTTTATTGTAAGAATGAACGTAAACGTTAAAAAGTAAAATTGCTCGTAGCTAAAGATGGCCCTCCCCCCGATATTTCAAGATTCGGAACCCAATCAACCATTTCTCATGATTCAACGTGGGGTCCAGGCCAGATTTCGGATTTGCTTCAGGCACCGAGCGGGCTCGTCACTCGCGAATGTGACGGCCCGAAAGTAGCGACCCACTTGCTGGGGTCGGTGAGGATCAGCAGTTGGCGGCAGTTGCAGAATTCTTTTTCATAAATTCTGTTATCAAGAGGCATTTCACCTGGACAACGTGAGCAGAAAAATTGCGGCCGCTCTCCGGCTTCGGGGTTGCGGCTGTTTTTAATCTTCTCCATGTGGATTTATCGTCTCAACTTGAAGTATGGGCGGGGGGAGAGTGAGAGAGAGAGAGAGAGTTGTGTGTGGGTTCCTTTAAAAAGAAATGAAATTACCTTGCTTGCTTTAGATATGTAAGTAATTTTTCAAATACCATTAAACTCTCCTCAACATTAGAAGTTTAGCACAAAACCCCTCGTCTTCCAAAATATTAGAAAATCCCTTTAACTTTGGGGGCTATGAGAAAACTCTCTTTTAACTTTGAGATTTTATTAGAAATTAGGGGATTTTTTGACAAAATCTTAAAGCTAAAGGGGATTGTCTGATAAATTTTGGAAGTTGAAGGGGGTTTGTTGAAAAAAATTGAAACGTAATGGGGGAATTTTGTGATGATCCACATACTTAAGGTAGATTTTCCGATATCTTTAAAGTTAAGGGAAGTTTTCCTATAAGGGGCTATTTGGTTGGTTTCCTAAAAACCAAGAAAAGAAAATCGGTACAAGGAAATTAATAAAATAATATTTTTATCCATTTACATCCTTAAAATTCATCCACAACATCCAATAAAATATTATTTTTATCTTCCAACTCATCTCATTTCATCTCCTTTCTTACCTTTAAAAAATCAAACACAAGAAATGTGTCACATCATCCAACTCATCTTATCTTATTTTTAAAAATCACACACATCATCCAATAATATTGTGACAACTCATCTCATCTCATTAAGATAAGGATTTTATTGGATGATGACACATACTTAAGGATTTTATTGGATGATGTCACATCATCCAATAATATACCCCCAACTCATCTCATTAAGATAAGGATTTTATTGGATGATGTGACATCATCCAATAAAATCCTTAAGTATGTGTCACATCATCCAATAATATACCCCCAACTCATCTCATCTCATCTATTTTCTTATTTTTAAAAATGAACCAAATACAAACAACCTCAAAGCATCATCCAATAATATACCCCCAATTCATTTCCTTATTTTTTTAACCAACCAAACGACCTCAAAACAAGTTTTTAAAAAAATCACTCATATCATCCAATAATAAGGTGACAACAAGTTTTTTAAAAAATCACTCATATCCATCCATTTCCTCAAAAAAAAAAAAAATCCTTAAGTATGTGTCACATCATCCAATAATATACCCCCAACTCATCTCATCTCATCTATTTTCTTATTTTTAAAAATGAACCAAATACAAACAACCTCAAAGCATCATCCAATAATATACCCCCAATTCATTTCCTTATTTTTTTAACCAACCAAACGACCTCAAAACAAGTTTTTAAAAAAATCACTCATATCATCCAATAATAAGGTGACAACTCATCTCATCTCATCTTCTATTCTATAATTTCCTTCTTTTTTAAACCAACCAAACAACCTCAAAACAATTATTATAAGAAATAAGTTTCTTATTCTTTGATTTTCCAATTTTTTTTGTCAAACGAACAGCCCCTAATCGTCCAAAGCTAAGGGAGGTTTTCTAATATTTGCTCTTTTATAAAACAAGCATCCTTAAGTTAGCACAAAAAAAGAGATTTAAAGACCCAAGAAGATCTAGCCAAGTTGGTAAACAAGCTATGATAATACTCCAAGATCTCAAGTTCGACTCCAGTGGCGGATCCATGTTGGTTCAAAGTGGTTCACTTGAACCACCTCAGATTTGCAAATGTGGTTATATATTATATATCTCACACAATGAAACAACGAAGCCTTTGTCCCAGCGGGAGTGTATAGGCTAGATGTTTGCACTCGGTAATGCTGGAGGTCTTAGGTTCAATCCCTTGGCAAACTGCAATTTCTTTTAAGAAGCAATGTTATCTATTTTTTATCCTTCAATTTTTGCTTCCCCTTTATTTTCTCCTTCTTTTTCTTTCTTTTTATCCTTGAAATCATAATTCTCAACTTCTTCAATTATTCTAATCATCATTTTTATTATGAAGTTTCTTTTTATCCTTGAAATCATAATTCTCAACTTCTTCAATTATTCTAATCATCATTTTTATTATGAAGTTAAGCCTAACCATTCTCTTTTATATATGTTTTGTCTCTTCTTTTTCTTTGTTTTTGTTCTAAAAAATTTAACGTTTATTTTGAACCACCACTAAATAGGTTGTAGATCCGCCACTGTTCGACTCTCCCGGTGATCATCCACAAAAATTTAATTTTCTAGAATATCCGAAGCCGTGAATTGGGGGGTGCTCCTTCGCCACTCCCGGGGATTTGACACTCGTAATCAGAAGGATCGTAGGGAAGTTCCATTGACAAACCGAAAAAAGAGACTTAAAGATAAGTATATTGATAAAGAAAAATTACTTCTAGCCTCAAAGCTACAGGCGCAACTACGAAACATGTGATATATAATTTTCTTCTATTTATCTTGATCAGGATCTCAAGAAATTGATATGCATCACCTTGCTGTGTATTGGGTCCCACTAATTTTGGAATAAATTATTACTGATTGTTAAAGAACATCCCCTCCTTGTGACGATGTATCTAATTTGCTGGACGGTTTTTCAAGATGTAGAATATAGTCAATCAATTTTAAAAGTCTTTCTTCTATTTATCTTGATCAGAATCTCAAGAAATTGATATGCATCACCTTGCTGTGTATTGGGTCCCATTAATTTCGGAATAAATTATTACTGATTGTTAAAGAACATTCCCCCCTTGACGATATATCTGATTTGTTGGACAGTTTTTAAAGATGTAGAATATAGTCAATCAATATCAAAAGTGACTCTTTCCGATAATTTCTAATATAATTAACATTATTCCTCCAAATCATATATAAATAAATAAATAAATAAATATATATATAATATATATATATATATTATATATATATATATATATATATATTATAGAAAAAAATGGAGAAGGCTTGGTACCAAGTTGCTCTAAGCAACTTGTAGTGATGTGACCTAATCTTGTCCTACATCTACATGGAGTTTGTGAAGGTAGTTGAGGCACTATCTTTGAGGTGTGATGTAGAGGTAGATTAAGCCACATCACTACAAGGTTGCTTGGAGCAACTTGGTACCACGGTTCTCCTTTCTCTCTCTCTCTCTCTCTTCTCTCTCTCTCTCTATATATATTATATATATATATATATAATATTATATAATATATTATATTATATATATATATATATATTATATATATATATATATATGAGAAAAATAGGCATGCATGGTACCAAGCACAAAAGGTTGTACTTGGTAGTGAGGTAGCATACTCCTCTTCACTCATTCAAATGGTTGCATATCCTCATGCACTCCTCAACCCATGTGAATGTGATCTCCTATTTGAATAAGTGGAGGGGATTATTTACATGTTAAAAATTTACAGTTTCACTTGTTCTTCTTCTTCTTCTTCTTCTTTTTAAACCGACCAACCGCGACAAGAGGATCCAAATCATATTTCGACTCAACTCACGCCGAAGCATAAGAGGACGAAGTTGTTATCGGATGTAATAATAGTTTAGTTAATGATGAAATTGCCTTTAATGATAATGTTTACGAGGCTTACATCATGTTACATAGTTCCAGTTTCATTTCGTACGGAGTTAAAAGAAGCTATTATATATTG